AACCATGACCAGCCGACAATTTAAAAAAATAAAGTAAAAAGCAAATTCCAAAAATACAGAACATCTTGAGAATTCAATATATAATTCAAAACAAGACGCAGTTTGAGACTGTAAATTTTCGACTTTATTTCAAAGTCATCTTCACACAGAATGAAATACAATACTTTACAGCATATATATATATATATATATATATATATATATATATATATATATATATATATATATATATATATATATATATATATATATATATATATATATATATATATATACGTAACCTTCTGATTACCGGACAGACGCTCTAACCATTGAGCTATAAGGCATCAGATGGTGAGCCAAGTTTTTTGGGCAGTCGGGCAATATTCGATCAACAGTCGGGCAATTTTGGTTTGCAATAAAAAAAAATGGGACAAATTCTGTCAATTTTGTCTAAAATTAAGTCAATTTTTTTGGCAAATTTTGTGATTTTTCGAAAATTTGTGTTATGTTCCGAAAAATATTGGTTGTCCGGAAAATTTTTTTGACCCCTAAAATGGTACACTGACCGAAATTTTTTTGGCGGGGGGTGGGGGGGAGGGCGCCAAAATTTTTTTGACCCCTAAAATGGTACACTGACCGAAATTTTTTGGAAAATTTTTTTGGTACTAGTCGGGCAGAATCCCGAAAAGTCGGGCAATTTTCTTTCCGCCCCCCTAATTTTTTCCTTCCGGTACGCCGATGCTTGTTTTGAATTATCTAATACTATTGTTTGTGGAAACACCACGTAAATTTATTGCAGTAATAAATTTACGTGGTGTTTCAGTAATAAATTTACGTGGTGTTTCCACAAACAATAGTATTATATATTTCATCGCCATGCAAACATAAAAAGAACTTAATACTTTCACTTGTTCGGCAAACACAGAGTGACCGATCAATTTCGTTCTGCTCGTAAATTTTGATAAATTGAACAATTTGTTCCCACGGTCCTTGAAAACCTGAAAAGTCCTTGCATTAAAAAAAATTCTAAGACTTTAAAAAGTCCTTGAAAAAGGTACTTGAAAATCTTGGAAAGCCCTATAATTAAATTTTTTAAAAAAATTCTAGAATTGCAAAGCCCTTGAAGTTGAAAACAAATAAGGGTTCTTGAAAATCCTGGAATTGCCTTCAACGGCATTGATAATACTTGAAACATGTTAAAATAACATGACTTTTGAGCAAAATGCATGCCATTTTCATGAGGATTTGTCCAGTTAAGGCCCATTTCCCACTCAAGAAAATTTTCCGCGGAAAAAAATTTGTAAAATGTGATTGGCCGATACAAATTTTCCGCTGGAAGAATTTTGAAGTTGAAAAATCCAACTTTTAACAATGATATTCTGTCCGTGGAAAATTTTGTCGAGTGGAAATGGGTCTTTATTGATTGTTGAATTTACAGGAAAAAGTCCTTGAGACTTGAAAATCCACTTAGCTGTGAACTAAAGTATTACTATTCTTGTGCACTGAATCGCATCTTTGTACCCCCCGCTCCCCCATCCATTGTTGGTCAGTGTGACATTGTATTTCACAAAGCTTTCACCTTAACCATCTTTCCTAATGGTATCATCGACCCAACTAAATTTAACTTACCAAATAGCTTCGGTGTAAGTGTACAAAATAAAGAACTAAGGCACTGGTCATAATTTAGCAGGATGGGTGCTGCCTCGTCCCCAGTCGCTTGCTATCAAATAATTAATTAGTAAAAGACGAAAATTAATGGGGGCGCGCGGGACGATGGGAAGGGGAGGAGTTGCATGCATCACAACAGATTTGTTCAGCCACTGACCTATATATTAAACTGATATGTCTATATATACACTGATCTACAAATAGTAAGGGCCTGCGGAGGAGGCGGGGATGGGTGGGGAGGTGGAAACAGTGGGGGGTCATATATTTTTTAGCCAGGAAAAAGGGGGGGTTCATAAAATATTAGAAAGTTTATGAAGGCGGGGAGGGGGTCTGCTGTTTTAGTTCAATTAATTGTTTTATACATGCCTTCTCACATTTTGTTTGAGTTGCATTGAAAAAAAAATGATTCTTTAAACTTAGAATGAACTTGAAAAAACTAAAGTTTTATATATGACTATGTATTGGTATAATATAAATTTTAGTATTTGAGCGCAACTAGAAAATTAGAAACTTTAAAGTGCAATTAGAAAATTTATTGAACGCAGGGTTTAGTAGTAGGTAGGTACATTTTTACTGACACAAGCAAGAGATGGGGGGGGGGGCATTATTTTTCCGGGTTATGGCTAAGCAGGGTCACAAAATATCATTCCTTAAAATTTTGAATTACACCTCCCCACCCCCCCTGATAAATTATGACCACTCCCTAACGTACATATGTGTTCTTCCTGTTTAGATCGACCGTGGTCCGACTCATCTGGTAGTAGCAGTGATAGCGACTGAGTGAAAAAGAAGAAGTTCGAAAATGAAATTTAGCAATTAAAAATATTAGTGCAATAGTAGAGAGAAGTGTTACAATTCGGTGTGTTTTCGTGGAAATTCAATTTTTTTCAGAATGTTGACAATGTCTTAGAGTTGAAATGATAAAATCCACTGGCAACTGTATACATGCTGTCTACCCAATCTGCTGATCAAATAATAAAAGAAAGGAAATACATTTCTTGTTGTGAGTGTTTGTTAATTAGCCATTTCCCAATCGAGCAGAGGACTGGGTCTAGTTGACGTTTGGAGGGACAACAAGTTCTAGTGAGCGAGAATGAGCGAGCTAAATATATATTAAAAGATGCCTTATTATAATTGTTGCATTTCAGGCTGCACAAATAACTTTAGGAATGTAGGAAAACTTCCTAGATGCCATACTCAGCATATTGTTTATTTTTTGTCCCTCCAAACAAGCGACTAAACCCAGTCCTCTGCTCGATTGGGAAATGGCTAATTGTTTTCTAGGTTAACGCTCTTCTGATGGATGTGAATATAGTTGAAATGTTCGGTTCTTCTTGCATAAACCAAGACAGAAACATAGACAATGAGGTCTATTATGTCTGCATCCATTTTCTTATACCGGGTGGCCCAAAAAAAAGTACTCCTGTTTGATTCGTAATAACATCTAAACAAGTATAGCTTTTAAAGAGAAATAACTTGCATCAAATAGAGGAAGGACTAACTTAGACTTTGATATATTACAGTTGTATTTCACTTAAAAATTCACGGAGATATTAATCTTTAAATTCGGGAGGATATTTCTGGATGTGTCTGAAATATGCAAAAATCGGCGTATCAAATATTAATCAAGATTTGCCCGACTGAAACATGCACTATTACCAGTAAATAAATGACACTTGACAAATTGTTTATTATGAAACAAAGTATTATTATATCTATTAATCCTGCTCTAACCGAGAAATAATCAACTTTGTTTTGAACCCATGAAAAACATAAAAAAATAGGTTATTTAAGAAAAATTGAAGCGCCTGCCTTGCATGGTCTTTCAGTACCTTAAGTTTGCAAAGACCTATTAAATACTTACATAATTTCGAACGTTCATATTTCAGGAAACAATAAGTTAAGACTTACATGTAAGATGTCTAAATCTACGCCATATCCCTTACAAATCCTAACGACAATTCGCTGAAATACAATTTACCCTGATATGTCATTAAGCAAACAAACGCTGGAGTGAAAATTTGATACGCCGATTTTCGCTAATTTTAGACACATCCCAAAATATGCTCCCGATTTTGAACATTAATATCTCCGTGAATTTTTAAGTAAAATACAACTGTAACATATCAAAATCTAAGTTAGTCCTTCCTCTATTTAATGCAAGTTATTTCTGTTTGATAGCTTTACTTGTTTAGAAGTTATTATAAATCAAACAGGAGTACTTTTTTTTGGGCCACCCGGTACTCTGTTGACTATAGTCTAAATACCAATATACGTGAAACCCCTGGCCGGGCCTGAAAATAGCCGCCATCTTGAAAACCTCCCCCCCCCCCCTAGGGTTCTGCCTTCCCATCATTCAATGCGGGGTAAGTGAGGTGACAAGTCTGGTCCTCGACGGTCAGGCGAAATCATGGGACATGGGCATGGTGGAAAAGACGGAGTTAACAAATTGTTTATTCGATTTTAATGAGACTCCGCTTTTTCCACTTTATGGGGCATAAACATAAAGTGGAAAACGCGGAGTCTTATTAAAATCGAATCTTTAGGCAAAATAAATAATTTTCTGACAGACTGCGCATTTTCCATTTTATGCCCCCATAAAGTGGAAAACGTGGAGTCTCGTTAAAATCAAATCTAGGCAAAATAAACAATTTTTTACAGAATCCATACTCCGCACTCCGTCTTTTCCACCATGCCTGAAGTCATGCGTCCACCAGACTGTCCACCTAAAATTAGCAAACTGAAGAGTGCCGCCTATTATTGGCTTCTCTCCAAAGTATCAGTAGTGACCTTGTATCCCTGCTTCCTGTGAGAAATATCAGCACTCCTCCTATGGGAGGCATGTCATGTCAAAGCTTTGAAACATTCAATTATGATCTGATATTGCACAGTGACCGAAGGAACTTTGCCAGCTAATAACTCTGACTGCGTATTGCGATGAATGCCATTTATAAATGTCTAATAATGCATGCCAAATTGCCATCATTAAACACAATTTAAGATCTGATTTTCCTATGAATTTGGTCCTCTGATCATTTTTGCGATTTCTGGGTAAAATGTGAAGGAGTTTTTGTCCGATGAAAATGAATGATAGCAACTGTATATATACCGTTCCGAATGTAACCACATGTGCTCGATGTTTGGAATATTTCAAATCGTTGGGAAAGTTTGTCGGCAATGCCAATGAAGTAAATTATTCGGACGTGCACCGTTGATTTCCTCTTAAGCGATTTGCTTATCAGCTTATGCCCTTGATTCATTTAAATAAATACAATGAATAACAATAAGAAAATATTAAGATGAAGATTACCAGTAAAAACAGAGTTTGGAGATGCTCTAGTTTGTTATCAGTAATTCGGGGCCTAGTTGTGGGCAACTCCTAGCCTAAAATCTGAAAACTTGCAAACTCTGTTATCGTATTTACAGCAGTGGGGATTTCACCGGTGAATTTAAAATGCAAATATATTGCAATGGGTAAAAAATACATCGACCAAGACACGTGCATAGTATTCAATTCTAATTCAAAATAGTTATGCAATCACAGTTATGCAATACTAAATATCCCATCAGTTATCCCCTTGGTAGAGGCTGTAGAACTGTGGTAGTTTTCGACGAAATCTTGGAGGGTGGAAACTGAGCTACACAAATCCAGTAGAGGAGTGGGCGTAAAACAGTTTCCAGGGGAAAAGAAAGATAATCAAGGGCACAAAAGTGCGAAAATCAAATTGAAGTCATGATCATGAAAACTAAAGATTTTGGGGCAGATTTTGTTTGTCATTTCTGGAGCTCTTAACTACTTTTAAACCACTATTTTGAATTTTTGTAGCTAAATACTCAAAAATACTCTATATTGATTGGTCAGCTTTCGCACTATAAACTGTTTTAAGTATACAACCGACCCTGAGTCAGTTTGTGTATGGTCAGTATATACTGATAAAAGTGCATTTTTGCGTCAAGGCGGATTTGCAACACATGGGTGGCCGGGGTATGTAGTGTAGAATGCCACCATGAGTCCAGTGCGTTTTCCAGGTACGTTGATCCAGAAATGTCCATTTGACCATGAATAAAAAATTCATTGCGCCTATTTTGTAAGAATCGCGCAATCGTTTTGTGACTATTGATAAAACGCGGGGTACAACCTCAAACATATAAATGGACCAAATTTGAAAACGTTTTACCTTTTTTTTGTGGAATGATTTCGGCTTGGTTTCAGTGAGAATTAATGGCAGCAGATGGTGTTCAGCTCTACAACTGTTGACACTGATATGGGAGCAAGCAAATTAATCCACATTTCTCAAATCTCAATTCTATTTTTTTGAAACGAATCTCGAATAGAATTAACATTATTTCCCCCTTGATTTCCTCACTCTGACAAATTCCGGTCAAGATGAAACGCACTTATTGCAGGCAAGACCCATAGTTAACCATAAGTTCGAAACAAGAAATATATTCCCACCCAAATTTAATCCAGTGGTGTAGCGCGTTTGCCCTGTGGCAAATTTTCAATTGCCCTGCAAGATATATTTCTCTGATGAAAGAGCCCAAATTGCGTGCATGAAAAACGGAAACCAGTGACCTTTAATGCATATCTTGTATGCCACCGCAGAAATCGTTGTTTAGACTAGAATCTTCGAAAGAATGAGAACAATTGGAATCCCATCCAAAAACAATAGACTTGAATTGGTGTAAGTTGACTGCTTAGTTCCTTGTTTATATATACATTTGATATGTACAATTTGACAACAAAAACCATTAGGGCTATTAAAATGAACAATTTACATGTCGTAAAACCACAATTCGACAGCTTCAAGAGGCAATTTTGGCAGGTAGAAACTAAGGAGTACAATAATTTTGGCTCAACAAGCGGTATGAATGTAATTTGTTGCAAATTCATACTTTGGTTACATTTAATACATTCCATTTGCAATTCGAACGCTATCGCTCGCCACTATTACGATGAATTTGCTTGACTCCTTTGAAATTTGCCGACTTTTAATCCGTCCGGAAATGCTTCAGATTCATAGTAAAATGAAAGTGTGTTGTCGTTTCTCAATAAAACCACCAGCATGTGAGCATGACAAATCGCCGTAATATCGAACAAACACATGCCATGTGATACTAGGTAACATTCGCTTGCGTTCGACTTTATATTTGCTACTTTGAGGCAAATTCCTGCTCGCTGTACATAAGAAAAAAGGCTCCCATTTTACGCGTAAAGACCCTTTTCTTGGGCTCTTGCTTTCAAGGGTCATTACTGTACTATATTTTGTCTAGTCTATCTTGAATTCGAGCATGAATCTACCCTAGTCGCTAGAGTACCTATATTTCAAGACCAACCTTATATTAGTGTGTATTACATATTGTTGGCTATTTTTTTGTATCATGTACCACATGACAACATGGCAACAATAACGCAATACACATTTGGGTAGTATTGTGCAGAAATATACTGATTACAGTATTTATAGAGTTAGTTGTAATATATTTGCACAGGCGCTTTGCTAAAATTCCACAAATAGTTTCGAACCATCAAAGTAAATCATACAAATGCCAATGTTGCCGATTTCACTATAAAGGTCACTAATATGAAATTGACATCAACCGGCAAATTGCTGTTTGCGGATCTTTACATGTAACAATAAACGATTTGTACCTCGAAACGCAAGGTACAAGCAAGAAAATTAGCTGGTACAAGCAAGAAATTTGAGAATAATATATGTCGTGGCACACAAATGTACGACGTGCGAGGGGACATATCGATGCTTTGTTGAGGTGAGAATCCTTTTGCACACCGTGGCAATAAGCTTTTCCGACGTTGCGGTGATTTTCTAAAGCAAGCTTGTTCCACTGCGGTTAGTTCTTGAGTGACGATGAACACTACCTACAGCCAAGCTTGTATAATACAAACAAAAACAATTAAAAACACAACTTTTAAAACACAACAGATACTCGCTAAATATCACGCTTGAGAGCCATGCACACATTTACATACAAAATTTGTTTGTCTCCAGAAACTGACTATCGGAAAATCTCATTTGTGAAACTGTGTTTTCTATCTGTTGATAATAGTCAAAATGAATGTGGGTAATTTGTTTATTGGCAGTGTTCCATACCGCCCATGACGGCCTGCTATTGGCGCGTAGCTCAGGAATAAACAATGGAATTTTAAACCGGAAAATACGAGTGCCCAGTATTATTAGTGGGCTGAGTATGACAGTGTAAAACGCATAGTAGAAATCAGACCCAATGGTACATTATAAAACGTCATTACCACCACGCTTTTGTCAATGAGATTTAAGTATAATGACATGGCATTTGCTTCGGATCGACCGGCTACACAGCCCTCCTGCCCTGGCTGTGGGAAACAGTTTGAAAACCCCAAGATCTTGCCGTGTTTACACACGTTTTGTCGTAGCTGTCTGATGGAGGCCGTAGATAGAGACCCGACTGGCTCGCTCTCGTGTCCAAGTTGTTACAGACATGTATCGCTAAACGAAAACGGTGTCGATGGCCTGACAGCTAACATGTTTATTGAGAATATTTTAGGTATAATTTCGCCACAACACGAACAAGAAACGACTGAGAGAAGTACGAGTTCATCAGTACGTTCGAATCTCGCCAGTCGAATCTGTAGTAATTGCGAAGAAGGGCTACAAGTGACCTCTCATTGTCAAGTTTGTAACGAACTGTTGTGTGACAATTGCACAAGAGCCCATCAACGTGTACGGCTGACTAAAGACCACGAAATTGTGCCTTTAGCTAGCCGGGAATCATCCACACAAGCTAGGGACGACGCAAGCATTCGACAAACTCGCACAATACGGACAGAATATTGCCCAACGCACGAAGGAGAAGTTCTTATTCTATACTGTGACACATGCTACACACCCGTATGCCGTGAGTGTACTCTCAAACAACACCGAGATCACAGTTTTATCTATCTGCAAGATGCAGTAGCGAATAATGCAAGCTCTCTACGAAAGTTAGTGGTCGAAGCGAGGCGAGAGAGCGGGGCTATAGACGAATGCATTGTTGCCTCACGTGCTATGAGCGAGCGAGTACAAGTCAGGGCACAGAATGTTTCCACCGAAATTCGTACAACCATACGAAGACATATGTCTGCATTGGAAGAAAGAGAACGTGAGTTACTCCGCCGTGTTGAGAAAATTGGTCAAGTAAAAGGAAAAACATTGCGTGTTCAGATAGACGAACTCAAGTCGAGTGTTGCAAGTTTGACTCTCGCCTATGACACTGCTCAGGAAGCCCTTAACAGTGAAAAAGATGAAGACATTCTTGCTGCAAAAACGGCTTTAACGGACCGTCTAAACGAGCTACGAATGAAACGAAGTCTTATGAAAGTCCACGAAGACGATGCGATTGTTTTTACACCTCCTGATCTGGCGCTACAGACAGCTATAAGATCTCTGGGTATAGTAAGTAGCAACGCATGTGCGGCCTACAGCGTCGCTCAGGGTACTGGTCAAAAGCGTGCAATTCGGGGTAAATCTGCAATGTTTATCGTACAAGCTAAAGACCACCATGGCGAGAATCGTTGCACGGGTGGTGATACTCCTCATGTAGTTATACAAACCCCGGACGGGCTGTATTTACGTGGCGAAGTTTTTGACCGTCAAAACGGGACCTATGCTGTTACGTATAGGCCCCAAGTGGAAGGAATACATATAGTTTCCGTCACAATTCGCGGGCAGCAGATTATGGACTCTCCTTTTAACGTAGACGTAAAAAAGGGGAGAAACTACCAAAGCATTGGTGTACCAATTTGTTGTTTTGGTACTGAAGGAGAGGGCGACGGGCAATTGTGTCGTCCTTGGGGTGTTTGCTGCACGAAAGACGGGCATATCGTTGTTGCTGATCGCAGCAACAACCGTATACAAGTTTTCCACCGTCAAGGGCATTTTATTTACAAGTTCGGATCTGCTGGTTCTCGCAACGGTCAATTTGACAGGCCTGCTGGCGTAACGTGTGATTTACAAGGCCGTGTAATCGTGGCTGACAAAGACAACCATCGCGTGCAACTCTTCGAAATCGACGGTACGTTCGTGTTGAAGTTTGGGGAGAAGGGCAGCAAGAACGGACAGTTTAACTATCCCTGGGACGTCGCCGTGAACACAGAAGGGCAGATCTTAGTCTCAGACACGCGAAATCACCGTGTACAGCTTTTCAACTCGGACGGTTCATTCGTGAATAAGTACGGTTTCGAGGGGGTGTTATGGAAGCATTTCGATTCACCTCGTGGTGTCACGTTCAACCACGAAGGTCATATGGTGGTTACTGATTTCAACAACCACCGATTGCTGGTGATCAGTTCTGATTTTCAGACGGCAAGATTTTTGGGCACCGAAGGCACCAACAACGGGCAGTTTTTACGGCCTCAAGGAGTCGCGATTGACGAAGAAGGGAATATAATCGTGGCTGACTCTCGAAACCATCGCATCCAAGTCTTCCAAGCGAATGGTACGTTCTGCTGTAAGTTTGGTGCTCCTGGTTGCAGCCCCGGGCAGCTGGATCGACCTTCAGGTATTTGTGTCACACCAGATGGACTTATAGTAGTCGTAGATTTTGGAAATAATCGTCTACAAATTTTCTAGGTAGTTTAGTAAACGATCATAGTTCGTAGTGCGTGTAATTAAAGCATGAAATTCCATGCTTATTTTTGGTTCGGTATACACGTTAAATCCCGGTGCATTTACATTACAGAAACTATTTTTACTTTCCCTAAGTCGAAGAGAATTTGTTTGCAATTGTTTGTGTTTTTCGAGCTGTAAAACGGCGCGGTTTTTCACTAATGTATTGTCTCCATGGATATACACGTGTTTGTCCCTGCAACTAAAATGTTGCAATTTACTTGAAATAGAACAATTTCAACATTGTAAATTTCTTCCTACGTAATATAGAATAAAACGTTTTTTGCAAACAAATCTTTTGGAAAGTATATAAAAGTTTCTGTAATGTAAAGTGCAATATTTGGACCAAAAGAATCACAATGTTCGACCAAATCGTTGTAATATTTCCATGGCTAAATTGGTAATTTTCAGCCTCATTTATTCAGGTGATTTAGCCAAAATTCGGCTGCTTTTCTTAGGCTTTCAATAAGTCGGAACTTTTAGTTTGTCCCTGAGGATTTACTGTTTTGTTTTGCGAATCGTAAACAAAGTAATGTTTATTTGATATACATTCACTGGTTGGGCAATCTGACTAATGATTTACAAAATCACATTTTTGGTTATAAATACATTACTAATGTGCATTCGGTATTTTTGTGAAACTAGTATATTTTGGACTTTGTAGTAGAGCTAAAGCCACAAAAGAGGTTTAAAAAATGACAGAGTTTTTAGTAGTTATTCATCTTTCGAAATTTTTGCATAAGTTAAAATTTTTGTATGAGCAAAAATTTGATATATTCCACGAGGTTACCCTTCGCCTTGCCCTTGTGTTGTTAGAACAAATGGACATTTTCACACTAATGGCTTTATAATAATTTTCCTGTGGTAATTTAGCTGTTTTTGAACGGTAAACCAACGTTGTACCCAGTACTTAAGTTTGGGTTTTTTTCTGCTAAAAAATTGTAAAGTTTGTGACGTGGGTTGCCCTATTGCAAAGTTCAGAGTCAAACGCAAAGCATAGATATCTTTATAGTTCGTTGAAAGTCTTCACAAAAAGCAGCGAATTGGTCGTAGATTATTATTGAAAATATCGTTTCACAAAAGTTTATATTTCTACTTTTACACAAAGTTAGAAGCATATTCCCATGTAATGGGTTCAAATTGCTTATAAAAAATTTAGACACAAGAACAATATAGAATTCATATATATATTTGAATATATATTCGTATATATTTTTTATATATATATATTCCACTTACATTTGTGAATGCATTGACGTTTGATGGTTCTATTAAAATTAAAGTGATTTTTAATGCTCATGGAACGACAGTACATTCCTCTTGTGTAAATACAGTTGATAACTTTAATTAAACTTTTGTTAAGAAATTTAGGTTTATAAATTACATACAAATCACATTCGGGCATCGGGCAAATTTAATTGTGCGGTATATATTTTTTTACCGTCCCTACATTAAGTCCACATGCCTGAGTTTAATGTTGAAGTTGTTGTATAAATATGGATAGAATCAGGCCAAAGATGTTAGTACTGTGATTAGATTTACACACGCGGTGTTTAAGGTATACCAAAATGTAAGCAAAAAGAGCGTCGAAGATGCACATTATTGTATTCTGTTTATACTTTATTAGTTAGAAAAAACTGTTTGAAACATTATATTAGTGACATTACTCATTAGACATGAAAGTCAAAGACAAAGACTGCGAAGCAGAAATGCCAATGTTATTTGGAATAAAATAAATTAGTCGAAGCGTTTTGTAATTAGGATAATTATATAGATTTTTCGTTTATATACTATACTGAAGAAAATCATTCTAAAGCAGCGTTTCTGTTTCATTGTGCCTTACCATGCAATTATATAGTGTTTAGGTCGAAACTATTTCAATGCATTTTGTTTATCGAAGAATAAGTAGAAAATTGTGACAATTTATACTGTTTAGGAACAATAATGAAAAGAATATTTCTTGATTTCGATCGTTTGTAGGCCTAGGGCCTCGAAAAATACACAAAACATTCAAAGAATGCTTTCAAAGTTTCAAAATATTGAGTTTATCTTCTCTGGATATGAGTTGCTTTGTAAAGTTTGCAGACAAAGGTCAAAGTATGCGATATAAGCTCGCTTTTCAGTCGGATATACAAGTAACACGTTGGCCATCAGCCGATATAAGTCGTCTGAACATATACACGTGAGCATAGCACATGATTTTTTTATATATATATCACTTGCATACTTCAACTTGTTTTATGCCTGAATAAGCGAATGGTATATGTCATATATTTCACTATAAATCCAGATAAGAAAATGCAGAGAAAATATAACCTTTACATGCATGGCTTATTGTAGGTGTGAGGTATCAAAGTTCACAATGCTAATTTGTTAAATGTTATGCATGCACATTATAACTTAAATCAGAATTTAGGTTTAATTTAGGTTTAGTGTACAGTTTCAAATAAGTGAAATAACATATTGGAAGAGTAATAAAGTAACAAAAATATGATAAGTTAAGGTTGTTGAAGAAGCACATTACAACTTTTCTATCTCTTGAGTGTCGTACATTGTAAAACTCATTAATATTTTATGACGAAAATTCAAATTTGGAAAGATTCCATCATTAATTTAAATCTATGTCCTGCCTGAGGCCGTTGTTTGAGCAGAACCATGTTTGAGCAGAACCATACACAATATTTTTGTGGTCAAAAAAATTCGTTTGGAAAGGTGACAATTAAGATTAAATTACACCGTTCTTTACTTTAGAAAGTCCTTCATTAATTACATTCGGACCAAAAGTATATACATGGTTTAGATATAGCGAATCAAATAAACTTGGCCTTAGGCCCATTTTCATAAAGTGCTTCATATGAAACAAAACTGTTTGTATTTCTAAGCAAAGACACTAGAAAAGTAGGAATGGTTTCCATCTCGTGCACCATCGACCTCGTTGTTGAAATATTTCAATTTGTTTAATAAATCAGTTTAACCACAGTGACGTCACGTTGACGTCATACAGGTTATATTGGATGTTGGTAGCTGTGTTTTATCTTTGTTTGTGACAAGAAATTAATTGCGAAATTAAATTTTGGTTAATCCATGCTGCATGCATGAGAATACAGTAATGCGCTGGGAATTTCCTGTGATTTTCTTCAATTGGTTTATTTGTTCTGGGCCTTATGAATATCAATATATACAAGTTTATAGGTACAATGAAATGTATTACTGTAATAGTAGCGAAAATATATTTCTCATTCACATGTATGAAGTTGCATTTATCAAACAAAATGAAATATCTCGAAAGCGAAGCATTGCAACAAACTGAAAAAATATTAACAAAATAATAGTGTATAAAATAGCCATAGAGTACTATATAGTAAAGTATTCTAGTCTTTTGTTTAATTTAATATTGCAAACAGATTTGCTTCATATTGACCGAATTACTTTGTGAAAAAGATAAATGAATTATAGATAGACGATTTATTTGAAATGATTAGTTAAAAGTTGGAAGATTGTGAAAAGTGACTTTTTCAACAACTTTCATCTAAACACCTTCGCGTTAAATATATCAAAACTTTTTTATTTGCTTCGTTCAATTTTGCGTATGTTTGAAAGAGACGAAACTGCATCGACTGAACGTTTAGAATTTTCCGCGTGAATTTATATTAGTCTGATAAAAAATTAAAGCGTACAGAAATTATATTAAACGGCGAGCAAGGCACAATACAGAAATGCAAACTGCCAAAGAGCGATTTCTTCAGATATTTTTATATTATAGAAATAGTAGCATGTTTAGGAAATTAAAGTTAATATTTGTTAATATGAATTGCACGGCATTAATGTAAGTCAAACTTAAAAATAAAATTGTTTAATTAAACAGAGAGCACTGATTAAAACAAAACCTTTGTCCGTTCTTTGTTGTTTTATTTCATGGATATAGTGCTACAGTACAGTGCAGTGTATCAAAGTGTCAAAGTTCATGTTTTCTCGCATTTTATTGGACGAGAGGGTATCACGTGAAAGTCACGGAATTTGACTGTCTCATTCTCCAGCAACGGCTCTGAGCGGTGGACATTTTATAATAAAATCGTCGACTTATAAAGCAAACATGTTTATTAAGGTTCCCATTTCTTTTTGTTTTTTTTTCTATGACACTTGGTATACAATAAAATTCAATACTTATTGACTGGGGACTTTCGGAAAACAGTATGTTTTTTATGGACCTCCTGCAACTGCCAATGACTTAACCTTGCCTCGGGAAATATTGGCAGTCTCGAGTTAGCCTGGTCTCGGGTCGACAAAATATGATGTTTCCCTCGGTCCCAGTCAAGAAGTATTAAATAAATACCAAGGCTTGTTTTTCCGAACAGGCTAACAGACTAACAAATTCACGCAGCGAGTATAAAGTGATGCCAAACTGGGCACCGCAATTGAGATAGTGATCATATAATATTTGATTCCTTGATTTGATTTGTTCCTCATAAGTGACTGGCAAGGATTTAATCCCTCGACTTTGCTAATCCTCTTTATCAACCGGTGATTAGCTTAGCTTAGTGCACTTGCACTTGACACACAATCTTAATTGTCTATTGCATAAGAATGATCTGAATTATTTAATAAGCTTTCAATAGGCTTTCGCAAGAGGTCTAGTAATCGATACTTCTAGTCTTTGTTAGAACTGAAACTTACCATGCATACTTTAATATCAGGATTTTGGGCATTCGGTAGAAGTAAATATTAAAGGTTTTTTGAAATTCCGAGTGTATTATATATACATTTACATTAAATGCGCTCTCCTCTGCAGAGACACCTTAATTATTTACAAATACGTTACATGAAGTTTCATTGGTAAAGTGAGCGCGCGGGGAGTGATGGGACGATTGAAGTACACAGCTAAAAACGCACAGGTTGTGCCTACTTCTATTAACTGCATGTGGTTGTTCCAAGTTGATATCGACAGGCGTGAACCATTTTGTGCGGTCAACTATGAACAAGTTGTCAACCATGTTGTTCCAAGTTGTTACAGTTGAACAATGCTGTAACAACATGTTGACAATACTGTTCATAGTGGGCCGCACAACCTTGTTCACGCCTGTTGATATCAACCTGGAACAAGTTGTTGATTTTCTTATTTTTTACGCGTGTAACACTCTTTCTCCTTCGCTAGAAACTTCATGTAAACCTCTGCAGAGGAGAGGGCAGCATGATTTACACTCGTGTAATAGAATAACAACATTGCCAACCACTCGCAAGTCTTGATTCATTGATGGGCAATTGTAAATGTTCCATTTTCATTGTTTTAAGCCGTGTTTACACTACGAGCCTAAGCCTGGCCTGGGCCTACCTTTGGACTAGATTTTTGTAGTGTAAACGCACTTCGGCCTGGCCTAGATCAGGAAATCTGGAACACCTGTTCTGATAGGCCCAGATTTCCTGACCTAGACCAGGCTGAAGTACGTTTACACTACAAAAATCTAGTCCAAAGGTAGGCCTAGGCCAGGCTTAGGCTCGTAGTGTAAACACGGCTTTAGAAATCCCGCTGTTCTGCATGCCATCCAGTGACCTCTTGTTTTGATTGTATTAGCATTTATGCAATATTGTAATCCGATCTATATACACTATATATCTCATTTATGGACTTGAAATATCTTGTTTGATTTTCCCCGCTGTGCTAATACAGTAATAGTCTTTTAAGACTGATAAACTAATTAATGTCTCCCAAATGTTTGCCCACCCTTGAAAACATTGTTGGGGAAATATAGCATTGGGAAATATCTGGAAGTATCTTCAAATGTTTCCTGGGTTCTGGGAAGTAAAATGTTTTCAGAAAGATTTTATTGTCTGTTATACTTCAATGTTCTTGCATTTTCTTACAAGCTTTCTATCAATTTTAGCTACAATTGCCCTGAGCTGTCGCCCAGGTCCAACTTCGTAAAATATTTGTTCGCAATTCGATTCACAAATATCGCTCATTATTGTCCGCCATTGCACGGGTTCAACTAGTTGTCTTGGTAGCAATCTAGAACAATAGAGGGAAACATAAATATTCTAAACTGAATACAGAGAAAACAAAAATATTCTATTAGACGGATTAAAACGGGGGATGTAAAACGAGGTTTTGACTTAGTCTTTGATATAAAAATTTGTTACTGCGAGAACTGGCTTTCTTTTTGGAATTGACAATTTTGACAACAAGAAGGAGTTTGTTACGTGATTTGAAACAAGAAAATTGTGTTGGAAAACGAGGCAGTAACCAAGATCTTTATTCCTTTAGGCCAAAACCACTACAATAAACTATTTCCGGTGTATATCATATAGTATAACTTTTTCATGGACTACAAATGGACTTTTTCATGGACAGTTCATGTTTCTTCATAGTCGGATTTGAAATATTACATCTCATACGAATAAATCACTACTTAAAGTGGGATGAATTAATTTTGATCCAGTCCAAGGACTGATTGACTGAATTAATTTTGTATACTTCAGTATACTTCACCAGGTATCTAGTATTATCATGTGAGCAAAATAAAGCAATATGGTTGGCTAATTTACGCATGAATTATTAATGAGTTTGAGATGTTGAGTGTTTCATCAGGGGATCCAAACACGAGAAAACTGTATGAAACACGAGCGCGAAGCGCGAGTGTTTTATTGTTTTCGAGTGTTTGGTCCCCTGATGAAACACGAGAAACGAGTTGTTTACACAACATCTCAAA